GGCCCTCGCTGCTCTGGGTTCCAGTTGGGCCCTCGCTGCTCTGTGTTCCAGTTCGGCCCTCCTTGTTCTAGGTGGTAGTTGGGCCCTCGCTGCTCTGCCTGTGCGCGGTCTTCCCTTTGACCACGCCAGAAGGGCGGTGCGTTCTCTGCCGGCGGTAGGCGTTCCTGACTGGGCCGTCGGTCTGTCCAGTCATTGCCATTCTGTGAGGACCAATTCGGTCGGTCTGAACTTCGGGGTGGTGGGTATCTCTCGTCGTTGCAGAAGGACGGGCGGAGGGGCGGCTCTTCGTGGCCGGGGTCGCCCCCGCCGAGGCGGATGGCCTGGAAGCGCAGCCAGTCGTAGGAGACGAGGCCGCGGAGGTCCAGCATACGGCCGAGAGCGTCGCGCATGTCCTGGCACTGCAGGCCCACCACGAGCCGGTCCTTGGCCAAGGCCTCGCCCACGTCCTGCGGGTAGGCGCACTGACTCAACAGCGCCTCCATCTCGCACACGAACTCCTGGACGGAAGTGCCGGGGCGCTGCTGCAGCTTGTGGAAGCGCCGACAACAGGGTTTCTCACTCATCTTATAACACAAGAAGCAAACCCCACAGTTAACGCCGAGAAGTCAAAATGATGGTCGTATAGAAGCAGGCGTGGTGTAAGGCTCGGCTACGTCAGAAGGGACGATGCACTTCGTCGTTATACACACTGGGTTTTTTGGTTGTGTAAATTGCCTACCTTTCAGGCGGCCCACTAGAGCCGACAGGAGAAGCGATCTGTGTTAGGTCCGGTAACCTGGGTTCCCCGAGGATGATTGGTCAAGCTTGTAAAGGATTGCCAACTGTATTGATCTGTGATTGAACGATCGGAACCTCCACACTCACCCCGTTCACGCGTGTCGCGGTCGGGCCGCTGCTCGCGCCGCGCCTGGAGGCCTGGAGCGAGGGGGGCTTTTCACTGACACCAGCACATTCTCTTGCCAGCCAGGCGCGACGCGCTAGGTTTAAATTGAGCGCCCCTCTGCTGACTCACACTGCAACTGACACCCCCCGCCCCCTCCCCCAAACTGCACCTGTATTAATTAAAGGGAGCGTGCACCCGGGCGGCGCACAAGTGAGGAATGCTGAAGTACAGATCACTGCGGTTTCTATCAAGGATACATTTGGCTTGTAGGTATAGCGAACGAGACCGCCCAACAGGAACTTTTAACATGAATTTGTCAAGAGTTAAAGAAATATTTAATGTAAAACTGACAAAATTACCACACTACAGTTGGTACTATAATGCCTATTCACATGAGATGGCAAATTGATCAGAAGTATTTAATCAAAATCACATCAAGTCAACAATCCCAAAAATGTCATTTTTTATCAGCAAGTAACGAATTAAATGTCCACTCATGATGCATTTTCAATGGGTAATATTTAATGGGACACGTTTCTATTGCTGTGCAGGCAAATGCCCTCTAACTACGGAAAGTTGACTCTGGCTCCTGGCTCTCACACCATTTTGAAAAACTTTTGAATTACTTTAAAGTTTCCATTACGCTTTTCGGTGGTTCACCTTGATTTTGAATTTATACTCTTATTTGGCTGATTCACATTGATCAAGTTTAATATATACATACTGCAACTCTGCCTGAAACGAACATTATAAGCGGACGCAGATACATTTGGGACTTCAATCAAATTATTGAAAGGATGCTAAATAGATTTTAACTTAAATGTTTGGCACTGAAAGCACTCGCAAAATCATTGTTACTCCTTTAATCATAAGTGATATTTCTCATCTTAAAGAAACCAGGAGAGTGAGAGAGAGAGAGAACTTCTCAGAGCTTCTTGGTAAAGAAACCATCATGACCATACTCTTATTTTGATAAAACAAAGGGCAATGCATTTAGTAGATTGATACGTCAAATGCATTTAAATGGCTGTAGCAAGGCAAGATAAATAATAACAAAATGCCCACTCAAGAGGTACCCACCTAATAAAAGAAAGAACATTTACAGGCCGAACTACTAACCAAACTGAACCCCCACTTTGCGTCTGGCTTGGGCTGCTCCGAATGCTTGGTGCTTGGTTTTATTAACGATTCGACATAGCTGGATGGAAGCGGACCCAGATTTTTACGACGTTCCCGCAAATCATTTCTGAACTTTCTACCTTTGTTGTTTTTCTGTTCACTTACGTTTACTGGACCTCTGCAACAACAGGTATCTTCTTTTTTGAACTGAGTGCCAGCAGCTGCGAAAAAATGTTCGAGCTCGAGCACATACAACTACCAACATAAAATTCAACAAATAACTGAATCTATTGTCATCTTTCGCTTATTATTGCAGCGTTTACCCATGAAAGTTTACTACTTATCTTTCAAATACGTTTTTAAATTAACTTTTTGTCTAATTTTTGCACTTTTTTTACAAATACTAGGACAATCGAAATGCGATGAGTTGGCGTTGTAGTGGTAACGATAGTGCTCGTTCAATCAGAAGCAAAACAAAAACAAACACAAATTTGAACAACAAACAACATGTGGAATGGGTATTTGTGTATTCAACTGGTCGAAACTTGTAGGAATTGTGACAGAAAAAATCATAATGACGAAGTATTTGATACCGGAACAGCATCCTAAGTTTTGTTTTTCTGGTTTTTCCTTGACATTTCTTCCTTGTTCGTATCTGCTTTTGTTTCTAAGTCGGTGCACACCCGGTGTTGCTTTCATCTCGATGTTTGTTGGTCCTTATAATAGGATGGTGAGTGTGAAGTGATGGCATACTATTTTATCTGAGGGTTGGACAGAACATTTAGTTTAATCATGGTTTAGGAACTACTGTGCCGGGAAAGTTTTATAGTGTTTTTCATGCAATCGCGAAGGGTTAAGAATGCTCTATCTTAGTAGCTTAATATTGATTGATTTCTTATGTGTGTTTCAGCCGTGCGGAGGAATGCACAGAACGAATGTTAGCTTTGCAGCTGGCCTGCACTGCTTCGACTGCACCCATGCATACTGTCAATCTGAACACGGTGGCTGAGTGTGAATCAGAGTGCGAGTCATTGAAAGTCAGATTGGCCAAAATTCACGACTTAAGAAGAGCTATGCTGGAGACCTTAATGCTGGCTCTGACTGATGGCAAGACCCTCCTCGAATTACTCCGTGGCATTGCAGCTGAAGGCTCTGTTGACTCACGCCCTGACACTATGAGGGTCTCTACAGAATACGGTAAACTGGGACACTAAGATCTTGGGCTATTGCCCTTACTGGATATAATGGTTTATATTTTGTTTCTAGCAATTTCACAAGTGGAGCACTGGCTGGAAAGTCTTCATGATCGCAGACAAGGCCTTGATCTTACTTTTAATGAAACTCGATCAGAGCTGGAGCAAAGGCTGGCCCTTGCTATGCTAGGAGCAGAGAGAGCAAAGATTGAAGATTTTCTCTCATCAAAATCTAGACAACTGCGTGCTGAGCCCAATCAACTCGGTGATTCAGAAGCAAGCAGTCAGCTTTTTCTTCATGAACATCTAAAGTTGTTTACTGAAGCAAAAGTAAGCTCTGAGAATTATATAAATGCTTAAAGTAAAGATGTATTACTAAGATTTTATTTATCGTATATGTGATACCTTTATGTTATCCTCAGGACATTCAAGAGAGGGCTCTCAAGATGACTCATGCCACCGAACAGCTTGCAGCAACAGGTGTCACTGCAGCAGAGTTAGCAGTCACCCAATCATATGCTGTCCTGAATGCTGCCGCAGAATATTTAGACATGTGTGATACTCTTCAATCTATGCTTGAGCGTGCAGTAACATTCTACCAAGCGGCTCATACTGTAAGTTTGCTTAAGTCTCCAGAAGCATTTGTCTGTTGTAGATGCTTTTACACTTCACTTTAGAAACAATTAAAAACTTTATCTTTTCCCAGGCCTTGACGAAACTGGACCAACTGGAGGTTCAATTAACGACCACTACTCTTCCCCCTTCATCTCAAGAACTATCTGTTCTACATGCTCAGATAGCTGCTGCTGCTTTCAATGTTTCTGAAAATGCAATTGAACAGGGTTTGGGAATAATAGACACAGCAAGTAATAATAATGCTGGGGCAGAGGTAGGTGTCATGCATAAGAAGTGTTAATTATGTCATGATTAGTTTTTGAAGTATTTGAAGTATTCATTGTTTTAAATATTTTAATAGGGTGTGAAACGAAATGTTGAAGAAATTCAAAATAGAAGAGATTATGTAGAAAGTTTATGCACTGCCCACAAAGAAGAAAATATTAAGTTGCATCAGGCTATAAACAATTTCTTGGAAAAACATAACAATGTAAGTACACACTATTTCACCAAACCATTTACTGAATTATTATTAATATTTTTTTACTGATGTATTCTTTCCTATCATTAGCTGTATTCATGGTTAGTGAGCCGTGGAGAGGCATTCCTGCAGGGTCACCAGGATATGGGAAGTGTCTTAGCTATGGCCCGAGATTTCTGTGAGGTCCATCATAAACTTATTGTTGAGCTTCAGATGAAAGGAACTGAAATAAACAATTTACTTTTGACACTTCCTCCAATATTGGAACAAGTGGAAGATGATCAAAGGATTGAAATTGATCAAAAAGTATGTATTTTAATTCTTCATAAGTTTCTAAAAAAATACCCAAAATTCTGCCGACAATTTTACAATACTTGCTATGTTTACTTCACTTTAGGTTGATGCGTTACATAATTTATGGCTACATTTAAAACAATCTCTAGAGTGTCGCATTGATTTGTCTGCACAATACCTCGAGTTCCATGAAAAAGCAGTGCAATTGGCAGAACAGCTAGATTCCTTGGAAGATAGCTTCAAAAATTTGGACTCATCTCAGGAACAGCAGCAGATTGTTGATGATAAGTGGAAAAATATTCAACAAATGCATAGAGACATTAAAAACTTAGCTCAAAGTTTTATTGAAGAGGCTGAAAAGGCAAGTGACTTCCTTATTGTTCTATTTTGTACCATTACACTGTGTGGATTTATTTTATTAAAATTCTATGCACAGTCAGTATGTAGTCAGGAAGTGCAAATGTATTCTCTGAGTTCATATGGCTCATCCCCAGCTGGCACTGTCCTCCCTTGGCATCTGAGCTAACTGTTGGTTTTTAATTCACGAAAGTAAAAGTGAATATCAATGTTATCTCGTTGATTTTGTTTTTCTACTTTGTGTTTTATAAGCTTCCATAATGGTAGCTTCTTACAAGAATTACTCTCTTCATGGGTAGAAACTTACCACTATATAGGTATCTGTATTCGTGTCAGTCAGATTTTCTCAAGAAATCTTAATCCAGTAGCCTTTTATTGCCACTGTGAACTAATTTCTTGTTAAGGAATATATGATCCCTACTTTACCCCTTCCATCCCCTGCCTTACCCTCTCCCTCACTTCCTTGGCTCAGCGCCAACAGACAGTCTGTCCCCTCCTCCCTTATGGCTCCCCTCCACCACCCACAGACTGCTCCCTCGCTCACAAAATAGGGACAGATGCTATTCCTGATGCGACATGCGTGAGGCAGGAGTTGGTGGTGGAGCTCCATAACAAATCTGTGTTAAGAAAAAAGTATAGGCTACAGGCTGTGGGTCAGTGGAGTATTGAGTGGTGTTGTGTCATCAAGTGTTCAAACTTTTCCGTTTAGGCTTCAGATCCTTACTTGGACACCAAGAGAGCAGTTTTGTGTGTGGAGACACTACTTGAGCACTTCTCTGGGCGTCAAATCACTACTTCTGAATCAAAAGAGACATGGCAAAAGACTGTTACCATTGAGAAGGAAACACGTGTTCAGTGGCAGAACAACCTCATGGAGAGCTCAAGGGTAAGTCCTACAGCTTCTTTTGATTAACAGCATAGCTTATCTTACATTATAGTTTTGTGTTATGGATTGTTTCCAAATCTCCTGACATTCAAAACTTAAACATATTAGCATGCAATCCACTTTATAAAGCTTGCCTTTCATGGAAAGTGATAATTAACTGTCATTTTGCCTTGCTTACATCTAACATTGGTAATGTCTTGACAGTTCCAGTGTTTACCATCTATCTATTTATGAATAATAATGTGTAAGACCATGAACTTTCTGTTTACCTTGTGGGTGTCAATGGTTCAATATCCCTGACCCATTACTTAGCTAACTGGCATCCCCTTCCCTTGGTATGCCTGGGCAGTATGCGCACTGCCTGCCCTGCCTGCTTCAAGTCCTCTCTTTCCTGTTTATTTATAGTCTGATTCGCAATTGGTTCTTTGGTCTTTGAATCAAGAGCTACTGTGTGTCTGGCTGCTTTCCTTCAGTCTTCAACTCATTCAAAAGTGTTGTGATTGTATTAGTCAAAATGATTGCTGCTGTTTGCTTTTTTTCTGAAATTCTTGAGTTTATTAGAAAGAGGAAACAGGTACACACCTTTCTATTCACTTTCAGGTTGTGTAGAACTTTGTTTAAATTAAAAGTCTAGGTTAATGTGATCTTGGGGAAAATATAATTTTATGTTGAAATCGAGTGGTCAATAACATTACATCAGCTCACTGGTAATGTGCAGATGATGAGAAACGAAGGAGGCAAGTTTCCCTATTTTGTGACAGTGTACACATTGGTTTAGGAGCTCTTTCATTGCTCTATGCTTGATGTGAGAAGCACTTGGGTGGGAATTATTGAGCCTGTGCCAGCTTGGCAGAGCTCTAGGCCTTCACAGCTCAGGTTTCCAACCATAACACCAGTGAACATGTTGCCACATGGTCAGACAGTAGTTACTTTGGATGTCTTGCAATCCAGTTATGGCTGTTGTACTATGCCACCATATTGTTTAATTGTCAATAAAATTTATTGTATCTCTTCAG